AACACCAACTTGCACAAGCCGCAAGTGGCTGTGCACCTAGCGTCGAAGTCAACCGATATTCGATGTTAAGCAAACAGAGTGTGGAACCGCTAGGATGAGTGACCATCCATCCAGCCTAGAGAATAGTTACAACAAGCGTCTGGGGTAAGGAGTCGCTGCCATCAACCCCCACTGATGAGTCTAGGCAGCGACTCTGAGATGAAACGCACAACCTTTTTCCTCACCTTACTCACATCATCACTTCCTACATTATCCTCGCATTATCATCGCCACTTCAATCCCTTCAGGGTATGAAACACTAGCGCCGCGTTGTGGCAGAACGATGGAACTAAACGCTCTATAATCATATAAAGGGAATAATTAATTTTAATTTTTCACGCCACAAATTTGCACTCCACGAGCATATGTTTCAAAGATAATGCTATCAATTATGTTCGCAAATAAATCTGAATCCAATATTCACTATAGTTTACGAGAAATTATGCACTCACTACTGGCACTACTACTAACGTAAACGAAATTGAAACATTCTTTATACACGTAAACTATACTTAAACAAAACATAGAACGCATGCCAAGGATCTCTGAAATTGAAGACGCAACCATAATAGTTCACAAATGATTCCTTTTAATTAATATCTTCTCGTAATTTGTGGAAAAACTGTCACCTGTCAAGGTTTAAATGCGACCGTGGCGCCATCTATTGGCAACTCAACGGTACTAAAAGTAGAAAATTCTGTTTTTAGTACGAACGAGGTATCAATAGATGGCGCCACCGTTGCATTTAAACATTGACAGGTGACAGTTTTTCCACAAATTACGAGAAGAAATTAATTAAAAGGAATCATTTGTGAACTGTTATGATTGCGTCTTCAGTTTCAGAGACCCTTAGCATGCGTTCTATGTTTTATTTAAGTATAGTTTACGTGTATAAAGAATGTTTTAATTTCGTTTACGTTAGCAGTAGTGACAGTAGTGAGTGCATAATTTCTCGTAAACTATAGTGAATATTGGATTCAGATTTATTTGCGAACATAATTGATAGCATTATCTTTGAAACATATGCTCGTGGAGTGCAAATTTGTGGCGTGAAAAATTAAAATTAATTATTCCCTTTATATGATTATAGAGCGTTTAGTTCCATCGTTCTGCCACAACGCGGCGCTAGTGTTTCATACCCCGTAAAACAGAGAAATTTTCATTTGCGAAAAAACCTAATTTAGCGAAATGATTTGCGAATTTTTGTGATTGTATTACCCTAATTAGACCCTTAGCTTTCTTTTCATACCTCATTTGACCCGTAAATTATAGAAATAAGTATTTTTATAAATTATTAGTACCACTGAGTTACCGCTAGATGGCGCCACCATGTCCATTTTGTGACAGTTCCCACTAATTATGAGAAAAACCTAATTAAGAAGAATAATTTCCGAACTTTTTCATATGCCTCCTTAAAATTAGGCTCTCCGCTTTCTTTATATGTGTGTTTTGTCCCAGAAAAACGTGTGTGTAAAAAGTTGAATTTTTTTTTCAATAGATCGAAGGCTGTCCTTGTCGCACATTATTGCTTTCCTTGTCTATCGCTGTTAGACAAGGAAGGCAGTAGCGTGCGACAAGGACAGACGTATATGCACGGTAGACAAGGAGAGCAACAGCGTGCGACAAGGATAGACATATACGCACGGTAAACAAGGAGAGCAGTAGCGTGCGACAAGGACAGAGATGTATCCACGGTAGACAAGGAGAGCAACAGCGTCTGACAAGGACAGACATATAGGTGCGATAGACAAGGAGGGTACTAGTGTGTGACAAAGACAGCAATATAAATTAGTTCCAGCATTTCACCGCTATGTGGTGATATTGTTCCAACGTTCATGAGTCAAATTTTTATTTACAGAAAAGAACGAATTAAGAGAAGTAATTCATAATTTGTCCATCTGTGTAATTGAGGCTTCAATTTTTTTTCTCTGTATCATTTATGATTATATACATCTGTCTTTATCATTTAATAGTGCGTTCTTTGCCTATGACAAATATATAGATACTCATGTACATATGTTTCTCTATCCCTAGCCTACGGTATCATGTTCTTTGCCTGTGGTGTATACATATATTTGTCCTTGTCGCAGAGTATTCCTCTCTTTGTTTGATCAAAGTAAGATGCTGTCATCTATTGAATCTGGTTAAAACCGCGAATAAGTAAGAAGAGCAAAAGGTATCAAGACAAAGAGTGCAGTAGCCTTAGAATTTAGTTAACGGTAAGACTAACCTCCTTTCTTGCGCTATAGTTATATCAAACGCAGCCTTGAACAGTTTTAAATACTCTTCACACAATTCAGCAGGTATTTATCGAACGTGATCGAGCCTGATCACATGCAGTCGGCAACGAATATCGTACGATATTGTAAATTGAAGTGAAACGCACGATTAACAGCGAGATGTCAAAGTGCTCAAGGATAGCAGTATGAAACGTAATTTTCTGCGTATCGATCGAGCGGATATATTTAACAAATGTACGTGTTGTTCGATGTTGTAGCATTCCGAATTTTTTAGTACGAGCAGACTTGGATCGACAGAAAAGAAATTCAAGGAAGATCACGAATGTTTCTTTGTGAGATGAAACTGCGCCGTTAGAACAGAAATAGAACAGAAAAAATTCTTTTTTCTGTTTTATTGCATTCATATTGACGACCATGTCGAAGTCCGATACACCAAAATTTGTAACTGCACTGTTTTCCTTCAAAGGAAAGAATAATGACGAGGTATGTTTTATTTTGTATTTTGTCATACACTTCTATAGATTGAGTTTGCAATTCCATTGATGATGTAATCTTATTTCAGCTGTGCTTTAAGAAAGGAGATGTGATAACAATAACACAGACAGATGATGAAGGTTGGTGGGAAGGAACGTTGCACGACAAAACGGGATGGTTTCCAGCTAATTATGTCAAAGAATGCAGAATTACCGGTATAATGGATATAATAGTCTTTATTTCATTGTTTTCATAATCTCTGTTATCTCTTCTTATGCTTGTTTTTATTTTATTCGTAGATAATAACATTTCGACTATGAAAACATCTCCTGAAAAAAGTTTACTAGAATCACCTGCGCATCAAAATCGTGATATTGTGTTAAAGGATTTAATAGATTCTGAAAGAGTAAATGTAGCGGAATTACAGGGTTTGATAAATAATTTTTTGCATCCTTTAGAATCTGCTAACATGTAAGTATACACAATAAACTATTTATTAATTTTCTATATATATTATTATCATTATTATTATATATACTGCAAAAATGATTTATTATAAATCTTTAATTTATAGATTAAACAAAGAGGAATACAAGCAACTTTTGGGTAATATACACGAAGTTTTGGAAGTGCATCAGCGATTGCTATCAAATTTGGAAGCAGCTATAACGCAAGATCGTGCTTCTAGAGTTGGAAATCTCTTTCTTGCACTTGCTTCAAAGTTAAAATCTATTCATACAACCTATTGCGGTAATCATCCAACAGCTGTATGCATTTTAGACCGGTACAGGCACGTGTAAAATGATAAAATTATCTTTATCATAGTTTAGTTTAAGTATAAGAATAAAATAACATGTGAAAGTTATTTTTTTTTTTATAGAATCAAATTCGTTTTTCTTCTAGAGACGAATTGAATGATTTCATGGAACGTAGCGGGGCAATATCGCCGGGTATATTAGTGTTAACAACCGGTTTAAGTAAACCTTTTCGGAGATTGGATAAATATTCTGCTATGCTTCAAGAATTGGAAAGATATACGGAAAAGAATCATCCTGATAGAGGGGATACACAACGCAGTATTGTTGTGTATAGAGAGATAGCGGTAAGTTATTCGATTTTTACATTGTTCGCTAGTTTAAATTTCTTGCTAATGTTAGTATTTTCGTTGTACGATGTACGATGCTTACGTAGGATCTCTTGTAGGATCGATGTGCATCCATACGAAAACAACGCGAGTTGGCGCTTCAAATTTTAACTAGTGGCATTAAAGGATGGGAGGGAGAAGAATTGAGTTCGCTCGGAGAAATTCTTTATGTTGGATCTGTTACTTTGGCAAGTGGAACCACGGGTCTAGATCGTCGAGATAGATACTTCGTTCTTTTTCCAACGACCCTTTTGGTTCTCAGTGCTAGTCCAAGGATGAGCTCTTTTGTTTACGAAGTATTTTCCCTTATACATTATATCTTATTGTATGCTGAATTCATAGGAACGTTTAAATTATATTTTCTGTCTCCATTCATAGGGAAAACTTCCATTAACGGGTATCACTGTAACTCGAATAGAAGATACAGATGAAATAAGAAATGCTTTTGAAATTACAGGTAAGGAGTTGGTTGAATTGCTTATTCATTATGAAATTTAAAAAAATATACTTTCTTTGATCTTTGATCAATAAAATGTCTGATTTGATTTTAGGCCCAATGATAGAAAGAATACTGGTACTTTGCGCTACTAAAGAAGATCAACAACGATGGATCGAACTTTTAATACAGGAACAAACAAGTAACAGTCTTGTGAAATCACCGACAACGTCACGCGTGAGTTATAATTTACCTCCATATGCTCGTCTTTCAAGATATTTTGCAAAATTAGTCAGGAGAAAAATTATACGTCCCGAACTTTTGAAAAAATTACTTTATTTACAATATGTTCTACGACCGGACATGAGTAATGTGAAAATGCGAAAGACTAATGTAACGACATATGTTCTTCATCCGATGCAAACAACTAGTCAGGATTCCTGTTCCCACAATTCAGAAAGCTTCGAGTCGAATAAGATCACAGGACAGTCGTTCAATGGTACGACAACGTTGCGCAAATCTACTCTGACTCTCGATGTAAGATATGCATTAGCAGACATAGACCTTAGTACTGTAGGAATAACAAAGGATTCATCTTTAACGGAATTAGTATCAACTGAGAGAAGAAGTGAAATTAGCAAAAGTTTGCCACTTGTTAACGTTGGAAGTTCTGTTACTACTGGTTTCATCAATAATAATAATATAAATAACGTTAGTATTGCTGACGAACAAGCTAGTCGATCACGTTTTAATAATCTGGCTCGTTCGTTTCCAATTGGTTATAACATCCATCAAGATACTTTTGGCGATATGGAGAAACGGATAAATGCGACGGTCGCGATGAAGTGTTGGAAGACTAACAAATTCACTGACGAACAACTTGCTACCATAAATTCTATGCATCATTCGTCTGTTCCTGTGTGCAACTCTAATATTTTTGAACATTGTTGCCGAACTGACACATATCCTCAAGGATTTGGTTTCCAAACGAATGTAATTAGCGTTGGATCGTCAGATTCGGGAATGGCTGAAAGTTATCATTTGAATTCCTCTGAAATCAATTCTTCTTGTAAATCTTGTACCTGCATAGATAATAACATCGAACGCCCTGTAAGACTCTGTTCTGGCGAAAGTGAGAATGATGAGAATAATTTTGAATATCAATGCGTTTGCACATCGCCGTTTGATTCGATTCCCAGAGATAGTGCTCACTTATCTGATTTATCGAAACACATTGATAACACTTTGGATCCTTCAATTTGCGAAACCGCTAGTACGATAGTTTATAATTCTGATCATGCTTTTACTACAAATAAAATACAAAAACAAGAAAACGAGCTTTCGAATGTAATGCAAAGAAGGTTTACGCAGCCTATACCGTACACACATCAAACTATCGTACGAAAAGTTGGAAGGAAAGCGATTCAGCCAAATTGTCCTGTTGAAAACGATTATAATGAAACGAAACAAATATATACGTCGGGACTGTATGCCCATTGGTGGTTGAAGAAGTCCATACCATTTTCTGGATGCTCAGACCAAGGCAAGCTTCCATGGCATGGCTGTTTTTTTCTTTCTACTTGTTTAGTTAGCGTTTTTTGCTTGTTTTATCACTAATTGTATTTTCTTGTACACGAGTGCGTACGACACATGCACACATGCATACAGAAAGAAACGAAGAGAGAATGAGAGAGAGAAAGAGAAAGAGAGAAAGAGAGAAGCACGTATGTATGCGCACGCGTTCGCACACAAGCGTATGCTTCCATTTCACAGCCATGTTATGTGAAGTAAGCTTTCGCTTTACTAACGTTAGTATGCATTTTAAGAATTCAATTGGAAAGAGAAAATCAACATTAACTTGCATATATAATCTATACATTCATGATTTCTCTTTCGCATATTCAAAATATCGTGTGATCAATAGAGCATGTTTCAGAGATGTTTAAGATTTCAGTTTAATTAGAATTAGAGTAAATTATAATAAACTAATTCTTGTTTTTTTCCTATTTACTAGATTTGCCATCAACAAAGCGGGAAACAACAACAGCAGCTACAAGTGCAGCAGCAACAACAACAGCAACCACAGTCACAACACAGATCAATTACGGACCCTTGTGTCTCTCTAGGAATTAAAACACCTTGGAGTATTGCTTCATTACGACCAGCTTCTCCTTTCTATAGCTTCAAAGTATTTGGTAAAATTGACATTAATTTGGATTTATCATGAACATCACATGGTATAAATATGAAAGTTGAACAGTTAAACTATGTAAGATATATTCCAACATACTTGTATATATCCATATTACCAAAAGCATATTATCACTTGTAGATGAAAGACAATTTGAAGAGGATGCAATCATATTGAAGGTAATCGAAGCATATTGCCTTTCTGTTAATGCTAGATTCACCGTACATTCTGGAGAATCAACTTGTAAGTTATGATTTACATTTTTGATTCTTGAGATATACAATAACGTTTATATATTGTGTATTGTGTATTTACATTTTAGCCATGCTGGAATACGATTCACATAAAATGCGGGACAGAACATCGTTGACGCATAATCGTGGAAATTGGGATTTTTGTAGTAATCGGTAAAGCAACATTTAATTTTGTTACAACTATTTTTTCCATAATTATAAATATAATATACGTCTTTTACATATCCGCTCATTTTAAATAGGACATTATCGGAAACAGTTAGAACACTGAAAAATCAAATGACAGATTTACAGTCGCAAATGTCATTATTAACGAAACAATTGGATGAAGAGAGAAGATCGAGACTTTCTTTAGCTGCAACGGTGAAACGTAGCATGGGTGTTGTGGATGGGTCGGTACCTTAAATGTTCTTGATAAATTCTTAATGATTTGCGTTTTGTCATATTTGTATCTTCTAACACGATTCAAATTTGAGTTTGACAATAGGAATGTTCTTTCTGTAAAATCTTCACACAGTGCCATTGTAATAAAAACACAAAGATATATATATATATATATATATATATATGAATCAGTTGAACGTCTTATTTGTCTTAAATGCAAAATCTGATATTTATTATTGTTCAAATGAACATTATTAGGAACGTATCCACCGTGTAGGTTTTCAAACCAGACAGATTTGATTGAAACATTCACATTATCATTACATTAAAAATAATCATTCAGAAAAGAAAACATTCAATACATTCATCTTTGTTTATTTTTAATACGCTCTAATTCGTTTACTCTGCTTCGTGCATGTTCTAATCTGTGCCATGCCATTTGAAGCACCTTTTGACTAGCATATCCAGAACCTTCGTGTGGTTGTCCTAAAAAGAAAAAAAGAAGAAATAAATTAAATAGAAAAGTAAAATAAATTAAAAAGAAAAGGGTTGAATATTTCCGCATTGATTATTTACCTGTAGAAACTTGAGTTAGATAATTGATTTGTTCGCTTAACTTGGATTCCACGTGTCCTAATGTCTTTAAAAACTGTTGAGTCTGCGCTTCAGCTTGTTTCAAGCTAGATTTCTCTTTACTGAGCTCCACAAAAGCTTGGCCTGAACAAAGTGATAATTAAAATGACCCTTTAATTACACGAGAATTATCGTATATATATATATATACACCAAATCTCGTTCGATATAAACAAAAGTTTGTTAATTATACCTGCACTCTGTAGACACACGATAATATCCTTCTCGATCGTTTCGAGGATTTGTATTCTTTCCATTGGTGGCGTCATTGCGAATTTGACTTTACAATCGAACGGTTTTATGTTCGATTTGAATAAAATTATTGAAAAAAAGTGAATAAAAAAAAAGAAAGACGGAAAACAAGGTACCAAACAACGATGTAACGCGCACACTGCGTGGCAACGTGCCACCACAATAACGAATATCCGAAATTTGTCGAATGTAACCGAAAATGGCCGAAACGCGGCGTGTGGCATTCCTGGCATTTCAATTGGTATTCCTTTCTAATATCTAGTGAGTATATGTTTGTTTAAACAATAAAAACAACAAATGCAACAGAAGATCCATGAAGATGTATGAATAATGGTGGAAAAAGGAACGAAACGAAGTGATCGTTTCACGAAATATATTTATTTTTACAAAACTAGCAACAGAATTATATGAGAAAGATGTAATCTGAGAAATAGCGAGGTTATGTTGTGATAATGAGGTACCTAAATTTTATCTTTAACGTTACGATGTTATAAATATTATTTATATTATTATTACAATTATATTTAACATTTGACATTATAAATATTAAATTGAGATTAACATTGGTTGTAAAGTTAGCCAATGAGAATGGTACTGTCGTCGAGGAATCGATATTCAGGTATTTCTAAATTAGTAGGCGCCGGTCCTTTGCGTATACGTCCAGCTCCGTCGAAATGAGACCCATGACATGGACAGTAAAATCCACCATGTATAATACCAGAATTCGGAATTGGTATACAACCTAAATGCGTGCAAATTCCAATCATGACTAGCCATTCTGGTCGTTTAACTCTTTGTTCATCTGTCTCAGGGTCTCTGAGTTTCGTAACATCAGTTTGTCTTTCTTGTTCTATAATAGACTGAGGGCTGCAAGATGTTCCAACATTTTTGAACGTTAAAAATAGAAGACAGAGATCTTAGATCAATTGTGTTGATGGATTAGCTTACCGATGATAAACGAAGATTGGTTTTCCTCGCCATTTAAATATTGACACTTTTCCCACATTTATATTTTGTAACTTAATTTCAACTTGCGCTTCAGCTATGAGATTACGTGCTGGCGCCATACTTTCTATATAATGCAATAAGTGGGATTTGAACCCGTAGAGCCCAGCAACACCGGCCACTAATTAAAAACAAAGGATCACATTATCTTTGTGTTTTGATCGCCTTTTCGATGACGCAAATTACATAATAGTCGTATCTTTTTTTAGATATTTCATTTTATTTTGTTGCCATCAAATTTTGTATTTGGAAAATCGTACCGAAGGACATCACATGATTTGCTACAGTTCGTTCATCAAAGCTCCGCCTAGTCGATACATTCGAGTTCCGAAGTGATTTTCGACGATATTCTTGAAAGCTTACTTTGGGTAAATCGGTATGCGCGTATCGATTTTTTGAGAACGTCCGCAGGCTCGTGTTCAACCAATTTTCCAAAAGAAATCGAGAAATTGATACAAAAGATGACATTTCTTTTCAGACGTTCCACTGTTCATCGTTCATCAATGCGTATTCGATTTATGTTTGCTTTTTTACTTGCGTTTCCATTCATACTTGAATATTCTGTTTTTATCTAGGTTACGATTCGTGATTGTTTTTTGGAATAACTGAGCGCGATTGCTAAAAAAAGAAAAAGAAAAGAAGAATCGAAAGGGAAGGAATAGAGAAATGAATATCAAGAATTTGTTACTACATATTAGCATATATTCATAGTATTTTTGAATTTTTGGATTATTGAAAAATTCAGAACATTATACAAGAAAAGTATGGTCAAGTTAAATATCATAATTAATTCCATCTGTCTCTATCAAAGAATCTGCTATATATACCAAAAGCGATAAGATCTTTCATCGGTTTGTTCAAAGTAATAGTTACATTGGTTTCGGCTCCACGCGTATTCTCAACGTACGACCAATCGTTGAAAGGAAGGAGCGAATAGTCGAGTACGTTGGGTATTGCCAGAATTTTTGGGTAATCGTAACTGAGGAACGTTGCTGTGATTTTTATATTGGAAAAGGTTGTGTTGGATCGGGCAATGAAACCGCAAGATTCGACCGAATTGTTGAGACACTGGACCAGGCCACATAAACGAACACCGGCTTCCACTCGAGTGCCGTACGTGCGAACATCATTAAAATATACTGCGTTATAACGAATCGGAGACGAATCATCGATCTGCAGTTCAGCCTCAACTTGACAACGAAAATCTTTAGACATCAGATGTACCTCATTCCTATGATAGTTTAACAGAGAAGTCCTGTACGCTTTAACATTGTCGTGTAATAGTGTTATCCAATCAAGTGTGTCCACTTTCTTTGACGATTCATTTCCTTCCGTTTTCTGATCTTCCCTTTCTTTATTCGGTGACTCCTGTTCCATTACTGTTTTTCTATGTTTTGTTTTTGGTACTCGAGAGATCAAAAGCCGATACTCAGGATCGTGAATCATGGATACGTTAGCAATTCCGTTGCGACCTGAAAAAGCCGAGAAATTGAGTTGAAACATGATTGAAAGATGATAATACACAATGGTAATAGACTTTATGATAGATAGTTGAAAAATGAGGAGATTAAAAGTGAAGAGTAGATATTTCAACAGATGTGAAAGCATAAAATTGCGTGCACGTGCCATACCTAAATAAATACCACTTCCCGCATTCCCGACTTCCGGATGATGATATCCAGCTACCAAAAGATTTACGTTCTCGGCATAGGACCATCCAAATTGTGTTTGTGGAGCTGAAGGAAAAGTCACAAATGAAAAAACTGAATCACATTCAAAGAAAATATGTAGTACATTGATAACATAGATACCAGTTAAAAATGGCGTTTCCGAGAACCAGGCGGTCGGGTATACGATATTTGAAACTCCTTCTATTCTCGTCAAATTTAAGGCCGGCACAGCAAACAGTATATCGAAGCATATAAAGGTACCGAATCTCTCTCCGAAATCAGTGTCAAATGTTACGATTTCCGGTATCTCGGTATTCGAGAATTGTGGTTCCATATAGAGATTCACTTTGCGATACCTGGTTACCAGTACAAGAAATGAGAAAGGAATTGTTGCGAGATTGATCGGGAGAATATAATTACCTGGCGATTATTTTTCCCGTTCGGTCAAATACAACGTTGGTATTGTAATAATGCCACGTGCCATTCAAGGAACAGTCATTGTCTCTGATTGTAAGCTCTTTCTCGGCAATATTTACTACCACATAGATGCGATTTCTTCTCGCAGCGCACGATAATCTTTTTAACGTCTACAAGGAATAAAAAGGGAATTGAGAACTGAGTCGAGTGTGGAAAACAGAATACCTACTTCACTAATGTTGATTTCAGTTCCTGTGCAAGGGATATATTCATCGTGAGGGGAAGGAATCGCCGTTGTCCAAGCATCCATTAGTTCTATTCTGCTGGGCAAATTGGTCGATGTTAGCCCATCCTCCGGGAAGACGATAATGTCAGCGTTCTGTACGATAAATTTCCATATCAGATTTATCAGAACGAATATCAATTAGATCATGAAAATCGTAATGATACCTAGATCGATCAATCGACCAATCGAACTCACCTGTCTACTTGCTTCTTCTATGTATTTGATGTACGCGTTCGTGTTGTACGTCAAAGTTTTTAAGGCATCGCCCCAAACATAAGTCGGTGAAAACTCTACCACGGCTGCAGTATAATAATCCGGCGAAACTTGTTCTGTCATCTGTCTCGTATGTATAATGATATAAATCAGCGAACGATCTTTTCTTGAATTATTCTTATTTTTATTAATAGATGTTTCGGATTCTTATTTTTTCAAGTTAAAATCTTTCCGATTCTCGTCAAATTTTTTTATACATTTTTTTATATTTGCCAATTCTGTCATTTCAACTTTACCTGACATGAAAATTGTGCAAGGATTAGGAGAAATCCTATTTCGCTCAACTTCCCACGCATGGTGTTTGTTTCTTTTGTTGATCCTTTGATTTTCTTGCTTTTACGAAGACGAACTAACAGCCTACAAAATGAAACACATTTTATCGTTATTATAACTATACGATTTGGTTACGTTTCAAAATCAAACGATTTTTGAATTCATCCTTTCATTTATAAACATTCTTTTTGTTTTATACATTGATTGCGTAAATTTTACATATTTTCACACATATAATTTAAAGATATGTATTAAATGCATTGCATATATAAAATATATTTTTAATGAAGTATAAAATGACACATTTGACTCTGTTGTCGCACTAAACGCACACGCATGTAAACGATTAGTTAAAATGTGAAATGAAGTGTCAGGTAACGACATGAGCGCAATCTGTTAAAGATTGCGCGAGTTATAATAGTTTGATTTTACCGTTACCGCGGTGAAACAAATCGGCGATGAGTGATTAATACTGATTTAATATTTCCTCGATATCCCGTATTTATACTCATACACACAAACTGATAATAATATTTCACAATGAGGGATTTACCGTATAATCGCGTGTGTAATATGTGATCACGCCGTGCGAATCGAATGGTAGGAGTTTCTGAACGATTCCTACCAATATTCTTTGCTTTATCTCTACTTAACCTTTGTTTGCATTACAAATAGTAGAAACAAGATATATATTAGACATACATATATGTGAGAACATAGAAGGTGTCAAAACTTTAGAAAAAAATCTCGAGTACAGAATGGTAATTATCATATTTACATACATAAGCGTAGCATTTAAGATATGTTCTTATATATGTGCATGTATGTCGTATATTTTTACTGTTATTATCATTCTTGTTTTTAATTTTTATCATTGGCATTGCCACTGTTGCCACTCATAACAAATATTGTTAATGATTTTATTAATATTATGCCATTATCATTATTCTATTATTACCTTGTGTGTAAATCAAATATGATTGCATTATTTTGTCACGATATCCAATTAGGTTATATTAGGTTAGGTTATATTATTTATAATTTATAACATCTGCAAACTTAATTTGAAATTTTGATGAAAACTTGATTTTTAGTTTTCTATCTTAATTACGGAATATCAATCACATTAAACATATGAAACAAATATTTGAAACATTTAGTACATGCAATGATTAATTTATACAAAATGATGTTTCAAGCAGTAAGTTACACATAACACGTGTCGTTATATCTAAAAATAAAGTTTACAAGATAATAAGATTAATATATCACCTGAAATACATGAATATACAATATAAATGAAAATGTAGAGATACAGTATCAAAATATTATCGTTGTTAAAAGCAGGATGTTATACTAATTAATTAAAAATTAGAAATTTTTTTTTCTATATATGTATAAAATGTATTTATTCTTTATCTTTTCTGATTACTATACTCTCATTATTGAAATATTTCTATAAAACAATCTTTTACAACTTGCACTTTTTAAAAAATTAATTAATAATTTTTTAATTAAGCACTAAAACAATATTTATGCATTTACTTTCTATCCACATATCCTTGTATGTATATGTTACACTCAAATGTAAGTACGATATGCTCATTATTGAAAACGTTTTGTAGGCGATTTGGCTGTTGCTTGCGTTCGAGATTTGTTACCAAACGAAACCTCATCAAACAGAAATTGGCATAGGTACGATGCGATGCAGCGCACGAGATCATTCTGCCATCGAAAATCGTGGCATCAAGATCAGCCGACTTTTGGTGCGTTTATTAACTGCATACTACTTCCATTATTACTTTGCAGTCGTTTATACACTGCTATTAATTTGGTTTAATTGATATGTATTTATTTAACTCTTGGGGAACTGTGCTGGATCTATTTAATTTACTTATATATTTTTTTTTTTGTTATTTTTGGAAATAACATGGCATTTTCTGGAAAAACTATCAAATGTTATGAATAAACAAATCATATAAAGTAATATATATGACAGTAAATAAATGATACGATAATAAATAATATATAATAAATGAAATAATGAAAGACAGATGTGTCAATCGTAACTCATGATCTATTAGGGTCTCTAAGGGATCACTGAACTTTTATACTTGGTACTCCAAGAGTTAATCATTTATTACGCATCCTTTTAATAAAATTAAATAGTTTTTTCGATGCTGATTAATTGTTTTTCTATTGATCAATTTAACAATTAAGGTTATTGATAACTTGCATTACGTGCTTTTTGAATAGAATGGTATCATTCAAATTGATCGTAAATTATTGGTTAATCTCGTAATAATTTATTTGAAACATAAATTTCAATAATAGTTTATACATTTTTTTTATAATTAATAATCATAATTGTTCGTTATTAAAGTATAGGTAGGAATTATACGATAGGTAACGAATCTTTTGCTTTCAATATAGATATTTAGGATCGAAGGATAGAGTATTTATGTAAAAAGAAATCTTTAGTTTTTTGATAGGTTGGGTTTATAAAGTTCAAGCTTTTTTTAGAAATCTCTTTTTGGGATCAGTGAGAAAAGACACTCGAAGATATATGCGTACAATATACATATATGTAGGCAAGTTATTCTAAGTTCTGAACGATATATTCATCCCTTCATGAATTCCTCTTTAGCTCATTTATTTATACATTTATATTACATTTACATTATAGTTCTTGATAGACAAGTTAAAGTAGATTTATTAGCTAGAGTATTAATTGTTATATAGTTATACAGATAAGATATTTTTAAATTTGTGATTAAATTTTAGATCACCATTTTAATACACAATACACAGAAAGCATTATTTTCTAACAGCATTAATATTTGTCTTGCCTATATACATATATATATATATATATAAGTAGTAGGGGTATGCAAGAACCCGAAAATATTTGGAACCCGAGTCTGGACGAGTGGGGGGGGACGGGTCGAGATTCCGAAAATTTCGACATTCCCGAAGAAATCGGGGTTTCCCGAAAATTTCGAAAACCCGGCTACTGTTTCTCGACCTACTCTACAATGCTGTATAGCAGCCTACAAAATATGTAAATACACAGTTCAATTTCTTCTGCCAGTTTCCGTGAAAGTTATTGGAAACACGGATTCTAAGAATCGTATGACCTGATGTATACAAATGTGTGGTTGCGTGCTTAGTACTTGGATATTATGTACGCTGTTGAGCAGTATCGCTGAGAAATTCGGGAAGTTCAGACGTATATTTCAAAATCTGTGTGAATTTAATAAAGATTTAAAATCTTTAAAAAAAATGTCGAGTGATAGTGAGAGTAAAGTTGTGATAGCAGGAAGTAGTGCAGAAGACATCGTGCAAAGGAAGAAGGTAAAGAGGCTCTGTTTGGGAACATTTTCAGGAAAACGATGATATGTCGAAGGCGTGGGTTTTAAAGAATTATTTAAGCTTGTTCCCAATCCCTTCCCAAATCCCAATTCTTTCGGGAATCCCGACTCTTTCGAGAATCTTGAAATTTTCGGATACCCATCCCGATCCAGAAAAAAATTTCGTGTTCCCGAACCGACCCGATATTTTGGGTTCTCGCACACCTCTAATAAGTAGTATTTGCATTCATATTAACATAAGATATACTAACAATACATGCGCAGTTGAAGATATTGTTTAAGTAGATAAAACAATATAAAATAATTAAGTAATTAAAGAGATAAAATAACACAATTTTTCCAGTTACTTAACAAAAAGTGATTAAATCGAAGAAAGTTGGATTAAGATTATCTTTAGCAGTTGAGTAATCTTCAGAGATTAAAATGGTAACGCGCGTCTTTATCACATGAGACACACTTGAAAATTAATATCGACTGAGAACGTAAATCGTTTCAATTAGATTCAACGATGAAAAAAAGATAAAGAAAAATGTATGGTAAAAGAGCAAGAAGATCAAAGAGGAAGTAATGGTAGTCTGGGAGGGAGGGGGGTAAAATTTGGGAAAATGTCGAACGAACACGTATAGATTGAGTGACGTTAAGAAGAGGGGAAAGTACCTACACGAGAAAGGTGTGGGGTCGCGTATCAACCTGACAGGGTGTGCTATAGGACATCGAGTTTCGCAAGGTGTGCCGTAGTCGAAAAGGTGGGGGTGGTGTGTGGGGGCGATGTGGCGATCGAGGGCGCGAGCTCGTATACGGGTGGAAAACTGGCGGGGTCGCGGCGGTGGGGATTACCAGCCGCGAAGCAGCAGTGCGTCGCGACGCTGCCTGCCACGCGGTTGCGGCTCCCCTTCTATCTTTAATCTTCTTCTCGCTTTGAAACATTTTTCTAATCAGTAATCAAACTAGCAAACACTTTTGTTTCCTCCTTTCAATCATTTCTCCGTTGCTTTACTCAGCCGCTGCGATCTTTCTTTCGTGTTCTTTCCTTTCTTCTTTTCTGATCCTTTTCTTGGTCCATATTTCATTTCTTTTTTTTTTTTTTTAATCTTTAACGTCATTTCCTTCCTCTTCATTCTTTCGTTTTTTCCCCTGCCCCCTTGTTTTCTTTCTTTTCCCATTTTTTCTTCGATTTTCGCTGATCCGCGATACGGCATCTCTCCGTTTAACTGTTACTATAATTGTTACTCGTGCGTTCTTTCTCTCTTTTTTTTTTTTTTGAACTTCTGCTCGTTATTCCTTGCTTTCTCCTTCTTCAATTAATATCGTTCATATCTTCGTTCTTTTTTCGTTTTATTTCGTTAATCTTGTTTGTGGATTCCGCGCGAATTATCTTCTTTATGCTTTCGTTTATTTTGCCTCTTGTACCCTGATCTCGTTTGGGAATTTGCTCAGAATTTGATTTGTGAAGGTCTTTTCGATTCGTATTGGTTCACCTTTCTGTCAGCCTCGTTCTCGTGGACGGCGATTTTTCATCATCACACACGTACGTAAAGCGTAGACGTAGGAATTTTCTTTGGCGATGACCGTTGACCGATCGTGCGTCAACGGAGGAAAAGAACGACACCGTCGTCGACGATCATCATCAGCGAAATTTTGAAAATGAACGGTGTTCATCAGTGAACGTAAACGCCATGAATATTGTCGGTTATCGATGTCGTTCGTCGCAACAACTGTTTCTTAAGTAGCGTGCGTTTAGGATAGACCAACGAGACAGGGGATAGTTTGCTCCTCTGTTTTGGTGAGTATTTTATAATTTCATCTCCACATTCCTCCTGTTTTCTCCTCTTTCTTTCTCTTTCTCTCTCTTTCTTTCCCTGTTGTAGCTTTTCTCGCTTTTCGCTTTCTTTCTTTCATACCTTTAACATCTGTGTTGTTCGTTTGTTCGAGTGTCGAGTTGTTGAATGTGACGCGCGTTCGGACCGTATACACTATCGTGCATAAATTTAATAATTGAACGCTTAATAATTGGCGATTTCATCAAAAGTTTGGTATTTTTGTTTTGTTTTCATAATTGCAATCGACTACTGTTAATTTTTTTTTTATATTTTAGATCAATTGATCTGTTTTTGATCTGATTTGAAACGAGGAACCTGTGTAGTTCCAAATTCCATATGCATTTTTAAATAGCTGACACATAAAATTTACACAAAATTTTTTAACGTAACTAAAGATACATATTTCGATCCTTTTAATACACTGGACAGACATATTTAAAATTAGTGAACTAAGATGTTTCTGCAAAATAAATCTTTAGTCAAATCTTCAACTATCTTTTTTCTTTATACTAACTGATGTACACTAGCTTTTTTATTTATACTAATTGATGTTAGCTATTCCATCAATTGTATATATAAAATTAAATTAAAAAGATCCATTTGAATTGTATTTTATATATTTGCAATAACTTGCGACATATTGAAATATTTATGCATGATAATGTTTACGTTTAGAATGAATATGTTCATACTTTAAACACACGTTTCGCTTAAACGCACGTGAAAAATAAGCGATTATTACTAGATTGTGAAAGGGAATGAAAGGGAAGCGGAAGCGGAAGATTCACATCGTACAGGACTATTAATATATCGAAACGCTCCTATCAATATCCGGTCAATATGCTTGATCTTGTAATGAAAAGGCGATTTTTAAAAATATCTATGTCAAAGGTGCACATACCACTGAAATCAATGCTACGATGGGTTACTTTTGTATATGGTGAAACAAAATAAAATCTTTAATTCAATAATCATTTTACTAATTCGAATACTCGAGAGTTTGGTAAGATAACAAAACCATAGACGTCCAAGTTGAATTCGTTCAGGTTAGTCATTTATTGATTACATATTTAATTGAAAGTTATTTTGAATAGTCATCGCGTATTGCTCTTAACGAACATCGAAAATTCATAATCTTGTGTGCTTATTACGTTCCTAGATTACATTAGTTACACAGCAGTTAAAAATAACAGTCGAGTTTAATTTTTGAATATAAGCGTCAAATTTCTTTCATATTCGAATCTATTTCTATTGTTTTATTATTATTTGGACTCAATCAGTACTTATTTTACTTTATCAATAATTTTCAATTAAAAATGACCTGTATTATATAAATACTTTTTGTGGTAATGATTATATCGTAATAATCGAACACTTCCAGCAACTGAAGATTCTGATTTGATGTCTTGTTGATGTTTGATTGATGTCTTCTTAGATAAACTTGCCATTTATTTGTTGGCTTTATTTTTGGATCATTCTGATAGGAAATTGAAACTAATAATTACATCATTTATTGATATCAGTTTTGAACCAATTTTATTCGAAGATCCTTTCTGTTTCTCTGTTATTTCATTG